CAAAGAAACGGACCCTTGGTACTTCTAAACCATGTGGCCCTACCTGCCTGCTCTGTATTGCATAACTACAATTTGTACCAAAGGATGGAGGGGGATGGAGAGGGTAGGAACAGGAGAAAGAAAATTCGCTGTGATTCCGGAAACATGTTGTGTCCATGGCTGGACGTCTCCTGCCAAGTGCTTTGGAATTTTAGCTTTATCTCTCTCCAGGGACAGCTGAGGCCTTTTAAGTCTGATGTTGTGAAAGATGATTTCCTGGTGACTATAAGACTTCCATGCGGCTGCTCCACAGACATACATGTGGGGTATCACAGCTGGGGGTAACCAATGAGACAAAGGGCGCAAGGAGGAAGAGACAAAGGTGGTTGATGAGTTATGCCCAGAACAGCCTCGTGAGTGGGCCTTGTGGGAGAATGGAGGCAGGGACATAAAGCAGGAACCTCTCTGGGGGGTCAACTCAAAGAAGAAGCTCAACCCATCACATATTTCAAGATGTATATTTCTCAAGGTGGGACAGCTCAGGGAAAGCCAGGCTCAGGGGGTCTTCAAAAAGGAAGGCTCGGCACAGATGTGAGTGAGGACAGTGTTTCTAAACTGCGGCCTGACTTGGGTGATTAAACCAAGCCTGTTCTTTGAGAGAGGGGTTGCTGCTTCTGATAAAGAGTGAGGAGGGGGAGAGAAAGGAGTCAGCTATTATTGGGCCAGGGAGATAGAAGACGCAGGGAGAGGCTAGCTCTCAGCCAGCATAGTGCTTTAGACCTGGCCTAATGCAGAGCTAGAACCGAGACTCTCGGGACTGCTGGAAGCAAATCACCAGGCTGTGGCAAGAAGAAGTCACTGCCCACTGTCCCTCCTCCCTATCATATAAAACACCAGGCTATCCCCCCGTCCCGTCTTGGGAAATGCGGGGGAAGACATGGAAGCTCTGCGGATCAAAGGGCAGGCATGGGACATGGTGCGCGGTGGCATTGGGGGTGGCACAGTGGCGTGGTGGTATGGGGGGAACACAGTGGCGTGCGAAGACCCTGCCCCCTCTGGTTTCAGCACGCACCTCCCCTGAGGAGGAGAGCCGGCTGCTTGTGTGACTGGGGGATGGACATCAGATGACAGGAACATGTGACCAAGAACAGCAGAAGGAATCCAAAGGGCTCTGGTAAAGGATGTGTGTTCTGATCAGAGAGGAATTTAAAGAACCTAGGGAAGGGCAAAGTTATCAGATCTTGGTCCAGCTGCTTTAGAAGGGACCATTTTAAATGCAAATTGAGGAGCCAGAGCTCCATCCAGACCTAGCAAGGGTGGTGAAGCTGCAGAAGCCTCAGCCTGCTGTGTGGGGGCCCTTGGCCTGTGGCAGCATTCGTGCCCTCAAGCAAATGCCCAGGACCCTTCCCCATTCAGGACCCAGGCCGGTCAGGGGCAGCAAGGAAGGAGACCCAATCAGAGAGGCATTCCGCAGTGCCACAATTTTACAGCCCCAAGAGCCAAGGGAGGGCCCTGAAAGGCAGCCACAGACCTGCCTCCTTGGATTAGGGAAAGGAAGAAGGCCTTAGACAGCAGATATCCTGTCCCAGGGCAGGACACCAGGAGGCCCACAGATGCCGTGTGGGAAGGGAGTTGCAGCCATCAGGGACGTAAATGTCCTCAATGAGACCGTCCCCCTCAGCCCCGGTGAGCTGCCTGCCACCCACAGCCAGCCTGAAATGTACTCAGACTTTCTAGTAACCATTTACTCACCCACCTAGTGGGTGTTATAATTCATGCCAAGTGAGTACGCACACATGAATGTCTCATAGTGAACTGACTCTAAATAAATGCTAAGACAAAACAAGGCGTGGGCTCTGTTGATTTTTGTACACGCTCACAAAATAGCACGAACTTCCTAAGCACAGGAGACAGGGCTTACTGAACCTTTCAGGGGATAAAACGGCATCTATGTGAAGCTGTGACAGGCCTGAGACTGACAAGGCCCTTTGCAGATCCTACAGCAGAAGTGAGGGCGGCTAGCTTTAGAATCGGGAAACTGGACGTCGCGGAAACAACTGTCCTCTTAGCACCTGCACTCTGAGGGCCCTGAGCCAGCAGGCACCTTGGTTTGGGAAAGGGTGTAAGAAGGGTGACAGCTGATGGGCACAGAGAGTGTAAGAAGTCCTCCCCTGCCCTCAGAGGCCTGGGCAATGAGAAGGCAAGGCGGGTGCCATATCCTTAAAACCCAGTGCGGCATCATGTCAAAGCACAACATGCCACAGGTGTTGAAAGAGGTCTTATCTGGGGCTGAGAAGTCAGGAAGGCTGCGTTCTTGGTGGGCCTGGAAGGTGGGAAAATAATTGACAAAGCCCGGTGTGCCTATTTATTTTACGACCTTGTTTCAAGGTCAAATGACAAGCCTGAGATTCTATTTCATCTGCCAAGTCGGGATTGATGTCTCTTTCCCACTTTCAGTTCCTTGGAAAAGCAGGTCTCAGTAAAAAGCCACATACTATTATTACCCTCAGGCAGGATGCCAAGAACAGAGCTCTGAGATCTTCCGCCCCCAGATCCGAGCCCAGCCTGAGCATGCACAGAGGACGGGCTCTGGCCAAGTGCAGTCCCAGCCAATCCCCAGAGCTCTGGTGGGAATGTGTTTAATTGGAAGGCACTAGCTCTGAGCGGGTTCAGAGAATATCCGTCATACGGCAACTGTCAGGCCGGCTCTCTGCAGAGCCCTGCACCTGACATCAACAGGGGCGAGCCAAGGGCTCTTTGGAGATGCAACAAAACTAGATTAGAGATGGTGGTGTCTTCTCAAAGTCCTAATTTTCACTTAAGACCAGCCTGAGTCTGACCTCAATCCACGTCTTCTCATTGCCACCCATACCTGGATTGACTATGGCGCCTGCATTGCTCTACCAGGCTGCCTGTGTTCCAGCTGTTATGGAGCCACTGGCTTCCCACATGGGCCCAAACCCTCTCTGTGCAAGCGCCCAGCACAGCACGTTACACAGATCAAGTAGCCAACAAATGCTGCCTAGTTGAAGGTGATAACCTCTCTCCTTTCTCTCCATCAGGCAACCAGAAGACCTTCCTGAAATTCCATGACAGACTTTGAAATTGCAGGCAGTTTGAAACAAGGCAGTAGTCCCCACGCAGGCAGCGGGGGCGAGTTTCCTGGGGGCTGTGAGAACTGGGTGGTGGCCCTCCCAGTCCAGCACCACAAGGAGGATTCGAGGGCCTTTTTCTCAGGCAACACCAAGGCATTTTAGGGGCCCCAAGCGATGTGATTCTCCTCCTGCCGTGGCAGCCCCCCTTACCCAGTGTAGCAGGCCCGTCCTTCATGGTCACCTGCCCTCTCCCTCAGACCCGGCAGAATGGCCCGAAGGCCTCGGAGGGTTGAGGAAAGGGCCCTGAAGGACCCGGCCCTTTATCCTGGGACATATTCCAAAGGAGAATATAAAAAGCACACACAACACATACTGCCGCCTGTGTTTGGAAAGGCTCTGTGATGGAAATCTAAAACTCAGAACTGAAAGAAAATCTCACCTGTAACCACAAAGAGATTCAGTCTGATTCAGTGGCTTGGAAACTGGTATTTGAAAACAGCCCAGCTGGTGAGCCAGGAAACTTCTGCCCTCCCACAGGCTGTGGGGCCTTCAATTGTCTCCCTCAGACCCACTCTGGGTGTGGAGGGTATAAAACTGCCAGGAAAGGGTATCCCCTTCTCCCCCCACACCCCCCCAGGCCACCTGAATATTTATTTCCAGCCAGCAAAACAGAGCTGGCAACACTGACACAAAAACAAAGGGGCCTTCTTGAACCTCCTGATCATGTCTGTGGGTGACTCTGTCACCTGCCAATCTACTTCACCCAGCCTTAGCTTTCATCTAGGTAGTCTTTGATCACCCTCCCTCCATCGCTCCCACCGGCTTTCTATTTGTTTCTTCCTTTACAAAACATGCCCCTGGAATGGTTCTAAGGAACGACTAGCCAGAGCGAGCCCGGATTCCAGCCAAGTTCCAACCCGAGGTCCAGACACATGATCCATCAGAGGAGCAAGGCTTTGTAGTTCGAGACCCAAGTCACCTACTCAGTCTGAGCCTGTTTCCTCATCCGTGGAACAGAGCCAGAATGCCCCGCTCAGAGCTATGGCCGGGAGTGAATGGGGATCGCCTGCACAGTGTGCGGCCTGCAGCGGACGTTCAGTTAGTATCTGCTGAGTGGGCCCATCGCAGGCCCAGTTTTCTTCCCCCGGCCAGCCATCCTACACAGTTTCCCTGGGCCAAGGTCTTCCCTTAAAAACAAACTCCTTCCTCCCCAAATGTAACAAGTGAAGTACTCTTCTCGGAGGTCTGCCCCACAGGGAACTGGAGGTGTTCTGAAGCCAACTGGGGTCACTTTTTTTGGTCCTTTATGTATTTAAATCCACACACAGGACAGTTTCTAAGCTACATTTCAGCAGTGGCACCGCTGAGATAGCCTCTCTGTGGGGAAAACTCTCTTCAACACTAAGTAGTTTGAACACGAACTCTGTTAGAATCAGTTGGTCAACCATCGACCTGAGGAAGAAAGCAGCGTTTGACACAGCTATTCCTCCACCAGACCACCCCTCCCCATTAGCTGCCCCTCATACTGATATTTCTACTGCCAAGGCATGGCTGGGATTTTCTGTCTGAACCGACTGTACAAATTACTTCCTCCCTAGCCGCCATGAATGGGAGAGTCCATAACCACCAGGACGATTCATTAATAACATCAGTTCATCCTTCCTGAACGCTTACTGTGTCCCAGGGACTATGAACGCCTTATATACATCCTCTCGTCATGTTAAATCTTCACAACTCTATCAGGTAAAGTATGTTGTTGCCCCTATTTTACAGATGAAGAAACTGAGGTTTGCTGCCATTAGGGGACCTTCCCAAGGTCACACAGCTCTTATAAGTGTCACTCGGATGCAGAATCAAGTCTGCCACCAGGCCCAGCAGAAGCCATTAGGCTTTGAAAAGCTCAACGGACCCCGGTATTGAACTCACCTGATAGGAAAGGCCATCCTTTCGGGGGCTGAGGCCAATCTCCTCCATGGATGGGGTGCTCATCATCACCTCAGTCATCTCGGCCGATCTCAGATAGTCAGGGCTGCCAAGAGACCCACACCAAAAGTCAGCACACACACGCTTTCTCATTCCTACTCTTGGTGCTCACTGCTGTTAGATCAGGGGCTTGTCTGGAGGCAGGATGAGAGGCGTGCAAAACAGAACTCGTGGAAAAACAAATTCACACTACGAGGAAGTGCCTTACAAGTCCAGAGTATCGGGGATTTCAACCTTGAGCAACAAAGCCCATTGTCTGCAAACCTCTCTGGGAAACCTCCTCTCCTGTACTAGATTCCCTACTGGCACTGAGTGACTCTGGATTTTCTTTTAAGTGACAGAACTAGAAAAAAAACAAAACAGTAGGTAGCGGAGTCCATCTGTCTATATTAAAAACAATTCAACCCTTCTCCAGGGGAAGTGCATAATATTATTACATAATAATAACAGGTCAACCTCAGGGAAACCAAGTCTAATAATACTGCCTTCCTAAATTTCTCTGTCTCTGTGGTGCTTCTTTTTGCAAAATGTCCCATTTAAAGCCCCAAGGGGTCAGCTTTCTGCAAGCTTCACATCTGCCATCCAACCCCCTTCTCCAGTCCTGGTCACAGCAGCTGCAAGCTCACAGCTTGAAAAACATCCCCTGGATTAAAAGCCTTAAGGATGCCCAGACTCTGATTGCAAAGGAAATTTCCAGAGGGGCCAGGCTGGCCCACCAATGGCAGACATGTGAAAGTGCTTTGTACTCTGTAAGCAGGATACAAACGTTCCATTATCCTCGCACAAACCATGGGCACATACAGGGTGCCGAAACATAGTGCCAAATAGCACATACCGAAGTCAATGTACTCGCTACACAACATCCAATATTTTCATGCCTTTACACGTGGTATTAAAAAATTAAAACGTGGAACAGGTTTTAGAGAGGCTATGTCTCTGAAAACAGGGGTACCAAACTCATCTTCATTTTTATAGTTACTATAGAATAGAAAGGGGATTGGATTTGGAAACAGAAGCAATATTTTCTTGGTTCAATCTCTGCCACTCAAGAGCTGTGTGATTTTCAACAAGTCATATAACTTCTCTAAGCGACAGGTGCCCTATTTGTTACCATAATGCTAATAATGCACCTCACAATTACAGCTACAAGGCTACTCTGGAGATGGAGTGAGTATTGCAAACTGTGAAGCGCTAATCAACTGTAAAATAACCCCAAATCTTAATTTCTCAGGGGAAAATAACGCTGATGGGCTCCAAGGGGCCAGAGCCTTGGCAAGTTTTGAGTGACCAGCGGCACAAAGCCTCCAGTAGCTAGCCTTCAGTGGCACCCATATGGCACCTGGCTGCTCACACACTGTGGAGGTGGTAAGGAAGTTGAGCCCCAAGGGACGGGGGTGTCTAAGAGAAGATGCTGGGTTTCGGGGAAAGTTTCGGGTCAGGAGCTGGGACTCCAAAGGCAGTTTCCTCCTGGGTCATGGAGAGGTTGCCGTCGACCACCCCAAAGAACTGGGCCAGAAGAGCGAGAGCGCACAGGGCTCTCGCTTGGCTCATCGCCTGGTGTAGGGACGCTCGCTGCTCGGGCGGGCCCGAAAAGTTGAAGCGAGAAGCATGAACTTTTCGGTGCCTGGGCTGAGCAGGACCGCGCCAGGCTATAGCCTGCAGGGCCGGTCGGGCTCTCCGCGGCCGCACCTGAGAGCGCGCTCCGGAGCCTCCAGCGCTCGCCGCCCCCCCCTCCAGGCCGCTCCTCCTCCTCCTCGGAGCAGGAAGGAAGCAGCAGCCGGCGCTCAAGTCCCAGCGGCCTGGGGCCTCGCTCCGCAACGAGCGGGGTGCCGAAGCGCATCCCTCCCAGCCCCGATCCCCATCGGGTGTAAATCTCCGCCGCTCTATGCCCTGCCCAGGCTCCTTCTAGCTGGGGCCAGGGAGGACAGCTCCTCCCCAGCCCAGGCCCCCACAAAAGCGCGTTGGTTTGTAAGGGTTCTGGAGAGGAAAGGCGTCGGGAAGGTGTAACGTGCGCTCGTGCTGCTGCTGGTGGCTTCGGACGGGTTACGTGTGGGGAGAGCATTCCCCCCCGCCCTTGGCTCTGCAAACGCCGCTGCTGCACCAGCTCAGCCCCGCTGCCGCCGGCCTCGACGTCGAGACTTGCAAGCAAACAAAAAGAAAAAGGGGAGGGGCTCGAGGAAAGCAGGAGCCCCCAGCGCCAGGCGGGGCTCGTGCCTCCTGCAGCCCTCCGCACACGGAGTTTTATAAGCGGGGTTTAGGCGTGACCTCTGGTTCTCCCCCCACACCGTCACCACCATATATACACCTTCCCAGACGTCCTTCAAGTGAGGGCTTTCAGTTCACTTCCTTTGTCTGGATGTTCTCAGCACCACCTTCCCCCACCCCCATCTTTGCAACCTTGACGTTGACTCCTGCACGGGGTTGGAAGGCGGGTTAGTGCCCGGCGCCCGCGCCGCCTGCTCTCCTTGCACCCGAGCCGGCACAAGCAAGCGCCCGGGCCTCGCAGCTGCAGCCGCTAGACGGATGCCCGCCGAGGTGCGCAGGATACTCACCAGTGAATAGGGAAATATACAGACATGAAGTCCTAGGGGAGGCTGACCCACGCCCTTGTGATTTAAAAAGGGTCACTGCGTCCCGAGTAAGGATGTCACGGGCGCAGACAGGCTCGGCAGGCAGGGAGCAGACGGTCGAATACGGGCACTGGGCGTTCGCCGGTTCGCCTTCCGGAGACAGCCCCGATGCCAGCTGCGTCGGCAAAGCAGACGGAGCTCTGAGATCTTCACCGAGCTCGCGGCCCCACAAAGAGCCCGGGAAGCCCTATTTATAGGGGCGGAGGCGGGGCTCGGCCCCGTGAGGCCCCGCCCTCCGTCGCCCACTCCTGGAATAACGTCACCAAAATCATGAATGGCTTCAGCGCTCGCAGATCCTGCGAGCGGCAGCTCGGGGGCGCGCTCGCCTCTGCTTCTTGAGGGCCGTGGTTTGCTGCAGCTTCTAGCCCGGCCCCCTGCCCACGACTCACACGCAGGCACGCGCGTGGGCACGCGCGCGCGCGCATACACGCACACACTGGGACTGGAGTTCAATGACAACGCTGCTCAGAGCTTGCAGACCGGCCCGCGTTGGCGCCCCCCTCCCTGCACGTACCCCTGGGGACTCGGGGTCGGAGGACAGTGGGCCTGAGGAAGAGCGCTGGGCCCTCTCTGGACGTGACCGCTTGGCGGCCCCGCTGCGCCGGCGGAGGGCGTCATACCTCGACTCCGGCCGCCTGGTGCCTGTGGTCTCCTCTGCACTCAGTCAGTCGCCATCCCTAGCCCACACCTGGGGACCCTGCTTCAGATTTCATCCTCCAAACTAGGCCTCTCCCTGGCATCCTCGCCCGCGGCACCTCGATCGCTGCGCCCGAGATGCGTCCCCTCTGTACCTTGCAAGCTGCATGGATTAGAACACTGTTTAAAAAGAGACATTGGGAAGGTGGGAGAGGACGCGGAGCTGGGGGGACTGAGAGCCCGCGGGGGTCGCCTTAGCCTGCGAAGGGCTAGTTTGCAACGCTGAGGTCCATGGAGGGTTTTGTTTGTGAGAAAGGAAGTGGTGTCGTCTTAGGGTTTTTCCATTGGACGCATACACACACGCCGGCGGCGCGGGGCAGGGGTGCGGGTGGGCGCCGCTCAAGCACACCCCACCAGCTTTGGCTCCCAGATAGGATCCAAGGAGAAGAAACAAAGAGCGTCTGAGGAACCCCTTCCCACTGCTCAGAAATTGCAACGCTGGGGTTCTGTCCAGGCGGTCAGTCTGCACGCAGCCCTCGGAGCCAGGATGGGAGTCTGCCCCTCTGTGGCTGGAGTGTATTGCTTCACACTTCTGCTCCAAAAACTTCTATAAAATGACCTTATAAACCATTTTACTGGGGGTGGAGGACGTTTGTGTGTAGGAGGGAGGGTATCAAAAACTTGGCAAAATTAAATGTGCTTTGAAGTCAATCAGCTCTTTGAAAGGTAGTGAATGTATTGAAATCCATTTATATGTGCTTAAAAGTGGAAATACACAATCCTATCTCAAGTAATGCATGATAGGCTTAATGGTGAGGGTGTAACAGACCCTCATAATTTTCATCAGCTCTCCCAAGCCAACCCAAATAAAAATAATCGATAAGAATTGATAATGACTGACTGTGTATATTAAAAAGGATTGATCAGAATAATCAAAAACAATTTCGCTATTTTTAGTCATTCATATATACAACCAGAGTAAAAACAGCGTACTTTCTAGGAAAATACAGCTTCAAGACAAGCCCTCTAGTTGCTCCCTCCAAGCAGTGAAATTCAGGAGCCTCTTCCCACCCCTGCCTCACAAGATACATGAGAAATTGACTTGTGCGGGCAAGTTCCACATCCATGCTGTTCCTCTGGAGGTAGTGTCCTGATGAAGGGCAACACTTCTAGGGACAGGAGCTGTGGCGGATGCTCCCAGTGCGGGGTTACTGCCGGGAGGCCGACTGTTTATTCCTTTTGAGTAAGGTGGGGAAGCTTCTCAAAGGCGAGGCGGGACGTTTTCATTACTTAACCAAATGCTTGGAGAGCTGGTTTTTAGGCTGGGGCTTTTGGGGCCCTGAGCTAGGTCCTAAGAAAGCAGGACAGACACCTGCCATTTCGCCCCCAGGAGCAATTCCTGGCAAGTCCTGGATGAAAAGACTTGCCTTACCATTTTTACATATCAGTGGCCCATGTTAGACAGGTACGATTATTGCTTTGTGAAATTTCCAGAAAGTGGCCCTCCCCCACTTACCCACCCACCCACACACATACCCCTGAAGTGTCAAAATGGCCTTATTTTGGAGCAGAGGGTGGAAAATAAGACCTCCACCAAGAGCTATCTGGCCTTCGGAAAAATACCTACATTGGGAAACATTGAGATACTTACCTGGTGCCTACTCTAGGGGACATGTTGTACTTAATACCCATTTAAACTAAATTTCACTTGCATCAGTAAATTGGAGTAGAAAGTAGGCCTTGGGTTGTGATCCCAAATCTACACTTGCTGTTTCCCTTCTGGGACCACAGTGACACATTCATTCACTTGCAAATATGGGAAGCATGGGGCTGAACTTTGATACAACTAATAAGAATGCAATTTCTCAATTATGATGCTTTATATAGTGCCCTGTGGTTTTTCAAAGCATTTTCATACACTCAGCTTTCAAAAGAACAGAAGAGTTAGAACAGCACAACTTAACAGCCCCCAGTTCACAATTATGCAAGATGAAGCTGAAATAAATAAGGGGATTTGCCAAATCGCCCAGCTACTCTGTTAAGTAGCTCTGGGTTGCTGCATTTCCTTCAGATCTCTAAAGACACGGGGTATTTGTCATGCAGGCTGACCATTTCCTCTCAACAACCTATGAGGTTTCTCTCTCCATTGTCTTTGAATAAATGAAGAAAAAGAAACAAAAGCGAATGAAGTTACTTAGAGCCGCAGAAACTTAGAGCTGAAAGAGACCTTCCAAATCACCTAATCCAGTTTCCTCATTTTACAGGTGAGAAGACACCTAAGAGATTAAATGGCAGGTCCAAGGTCACCGGGCTATTAAGTGGTATAGATGGAACCTGAACACAGGCCTTCAGACGGATGGTCAAATGTTCTTTCCACTACAACACTACATCTTGCAATGCACTTGCCAAGAAGTTAGCAGCAGAAAGTCAAATACACAATCTGGATTCCAACCCCCCTCAGTCCAATATTTAACCAATGTTTAACAAGCATCTGCTATGGGCAGATCGGGGAACGAAATACCCAGTCAGGACTCTCCACACTCCCTCGCGCCTCCCACCTTTGTCCCAGGAACTAAAGAGTTGAATTGCAATTCTGCTTCAATAAAAATCTAAGTGTAATCAGAACTGCTTTGTTTTTTAACATTACATAAATCCAGGTTTCCAGCTCCTTTTCTTCCTCACCTAAAATAAGGGTTAAAAAAGAATAAAGGAAAAAAAAAGAATAAAGCCAAGCCCCAATAAAGCCAGTGTAATAGGTTTAATCCCCAGTCAGAAATCAACCAATCACAAATAAGTGGAACCCAAATTGATGTTTCTGTTCCTCTCTCACTCTCTCTCCCCTCTTCTATCCTTAAAAAAAAAAAAAAAAATCAATCAATAAAAAATATTTTTTAAAGAATAAATGTACTGAGCTTTATATCTTATTAGAGTTACCTCAAGTGCCTGCATACCTCAGCATGCAAGACATGTAGCTAATTATTCATTGAGTAAAAAAGTCCCCATTTAAATTCATTTAACAACATATTCCCACACTTTTTCTCCCTTCTGGCTTGCAAAAAGATGGTATTGCATTTAATTTGCTGAAGCATGGTGAAGCTGGTCCTTTCGTTAGCTATAAGGAGCTTCAGTAACTGTTTGCTGAGGTACCCCTATATACATCAGCACATTTATGCGTCAGGACAACTTTAAGATGTAATCACCATTGACCCATTCTACAGATGGAGAAAGAGAGGCTCGGAGAGGTTAAGTGACTTGGGCATGGCCACCTGTCTCTCAAACGGCTGAACTAGTATTTGCTTCCAGGGCTTATTGGTTCCAATGCCTATGTTTTCCCCACAATACTACATTTACCCTGGCCCCTGTGATTTTATTTGTTTGTTTTAACTGCTAAACTATAAACTAAAAACAAAAGCATTGGTTCCAATAGCAAAGTGCTGGACTACTGGTGTCCTTCAGTGGGGCACAGTTAGCAAAATAAACAACTTTCCCATCTGGGAAATCTGGGAACTTCTTAAATGTATCAATCAAAAAGGCCTGAGGTTTAAGGAAAAAAAAAAAAAAGAAGAAGAAAAAGAGAAGGGGAGTTTCTAGCCAAATTTTTGGTGAAACTTGTTTGAGAACATAAGAAATCTGAAAGGCAAGAATGTGTGTGGGTTGATGTGAGGCTGAAATGAGATAATGTTATGAAAACACTTGGTGAGTTGGAAAGCACTGAGCACACACATGGCTTGTTTTTAAGGTGTTTGGGGAAAAAAGGGGGATCAGCAGAGTTGATTGCATCTCAACTCATTTCAGTCTCGGACCGCCCCATTTTCCCCTGGAGCTCCTTGACTGACGTTTACAGCTTTGCGTGGACAGAGGCAAGTAGTGAAGCTCTAGGTCTGCTGGGCACTGCTGCGGTGCCAGTGTCCCCGTATCTCCCCCTTCCCCGCAGTTCCTCCAGGCTACGGTGTGTCCCCGGAAGTGTCTACTGGGTTCTGGGCACTTGACGAATGGGCGAGGCCTGAGAGTATGGGCGTGATTTCCCATCTTTGCTGTTAGGGAATTAGCCGTCCACAACGCCAAGCAACCCAAACCCACGGACAAGTCCTCTAGCCCTTCTTTGGCTTTACTGGAAGTCCTCAGGCGAGTTGCGTGACCTGTGTCTCAGACTCCTAAAGCAAGAAAGCAGGCAATAGACGTCTCTTTTTAGCTCCCAGGGTGTTAATAAGGCCTAGAGAAATTGCTCCTATAAGTGCTCAAGAGGAAAGTGCTTTGCAGCCTACGGCCAGGGCTCCGCGGCCCAACATAAAAAAGCCTGTGGGTCCTCTCGCCATGTGCCATCTCCGCGGGGGCCTCCTCCTTTCTACCCAGAGCCCTCTCACCCCCAGAAGAATCCTGGGATCTGGCAGCTCATGAACTCTTGCCTTCCCAAATATCAAAGAGATTGAGTCCTGGTTTTTTCTTTATTTCTATCAAGAGGCCTTTGAACCAAAGGGATTTTTCAGAGAAAGAAAACTCCATGGAATCTTTAGGGTCCAGGCTCT